CCTGGCCCTGTCCTCTCTATTAATGTCTGTGTGTTACAGACTGGCCCTGTCCTCTCTATTAATGTCTGTGTGTTGCAGACTGGCCCTGTCCTCTCTATTAATGTCTGTGTGTTGCAGACTGGCCCTGTCCTCTCTATTAATGTCTGTGTGTTGCAGACTGGCCCTGTCCTCTCTATTAATGTCTGTGTGTTGCAGACTGGCCCTGTCCTCTCTATTAATGTCTGTGTGTTGCAGACTGGCCCTGTCCTCTCTATTAATGTCTGTGTGTTTAATGTCTGTGTGTTACAGACTGGCCCTGTCCTCTCTATTAATGTCTGTGTGTTACAGACTGGCCCTGTCCTCTCTATTAATGTCTGTGTGTTACACACTGGCCCTGTCCTCTCTATTAATGTCTGTGTGTTGCAGACTGGCCCTGTCCTCTCTATTAATGTCTGTGTGTTACAGACTGGCCCTGTCCTCTCTATTAATGTCTGTGTGTTGCAGACTGGCCCTGTCCTCTCTATTAATGTCTGTGTGTTGCAGACTGGCCCAGTCCTCTCTATTAATGTCTGTGTGTTACAGACTGGCCCAGTCCTCTCTATTAATGTCTGTGTGTTACAGACTGGCCCAGTCCTCTCTATTAATGTCTGTGTGTTACAGACTGGCCCAGTCCTCTCTATTAATGTCTGTGTGTTACAGACTGGCCCAGTCCTCTCTATTACTGTCTGTGTGTTGCACACTGGCCCAGTCCTCTCTATTAATGTCTGTGTGTTACAGACTGGCCCAGTCCTCTCTATTACTGTCTGTGTGTTGCACACTGGCCCTGTCCTCTCTATTAGTTTCTGTGTGTTGCAGACTGGCCCTGTCCTCTCTATTAATGTCTGTGTGTTGCACACTGGTCCTGTCCTCTCTATTACTGTCTGTGTGTTGCAGACTGGCCCTGTCCTCTCTATTAATGTCTGTGTGTTACAGACTGGCCCAGTCCTCTCTATTAATGTCTGTGTGTTACAGACTGGCCCAGTCCTCTCTATTAATGTCTGTGTGTTGCAGTCTGGCCCTGTCCTCTCTATTAATGTCTGTGTGTTACAGACTGGCCCTGTCCTCTCTATTAATGTCTGTGTGTTACAGACTGGCCCTGTCCTCTCTATTAATGTCTGTGTGTTACAGACTGGCCCAGTCCTCTCTATTAATGTCTGTGTGTTACAGACTGGCCCTGTCCTCTCTATTAATGTCTGTGTGTTGCACACTGGCCCCGCCCCCTGCTCCCAGCAGGCCTCTGGCACTCACTCTGGTGGGTAGAGCCGCAGGTCCTCGATGTCTCCCAGGAAGGTGAATAGAGTCCGCATCTGCTCGCTGGTGACGGCGGCGGACAGGTTGGTGACCTGGATGACGGATGTCTGCCCGCTGCTCATGGCGGCAGAGGCTGCACAACCAGGACGGGCAAAGCGATCCGAGCGCACTCCCGCCTCAGCACTGCACCACCGAGACGAGACGGCGCGGCCGAGAGACCATCGGCAGGACTTTTTCAACTACGGCCATCTAGCGGCCGGAGCTCATTACTGCAGCCTGAGGGATAATAGGAAATGTGCATTGGCATCAGTGCAGACAGAAAGAATGTTCAACATACTGCAGCTCTATGGGCATTCCATGTAAACCATACTCACTGCATACCACTAAGCTAAATGGCATGAGACAGGGGGAGACAGGGGGTTGGGCCTGACTGGGAATAAAGAGCAGCCCTGGAAAAACATTTTTATTTTTTTTACCAGCCCTATAATGCATCGCTTCAGTATAGCCCGCAAATACATAAGTGGAAAGAAAGACTTAAAGGACCACTCTAGGCACCCAGACCACTTCAGCTTAATGAAGTGGTCTGGGTGCCAGGTCCAGCTAGGGTTAACCCATTTTTTCATAAACATAGCAGTTTCAGAGAAACTGCTATGTTTATGAATGGGTTAAGTCTTCCCCTATTTCCTCTAGCGGCTGTCTCATTGACAGCCGCTAGAGGCGCTTGCGTGCTTCTCACTGTGATTTTCACAGTGAGAGCACGCCAGCGTCCATAGGAAAGCACTGTAAATGCTTTCCTATGTGACCGGCTGAATGCCAAGAAAGCCTTGCCGCTGCTGCAAGGCATTCAGTCAGCGGGCTTAACGGAGGCGGAGAGGGAGGAGGAGAGCTCCCCGCCCAGCGCTGGAAAAAGGTAAGTTTTAACCCCTTTTCCCCTTCCAGAGCCGGGCGGGAGGGGGACCCTGAGGGTGGGGGCACCCTCAGGGCACTATAGTGCCAGGAAAACGAGTATGTTTTCCTGGCACTATAGTGGTCCTTTAACATTCTGAACATTCTGAACAATTGCCCCCCAATTCATAAAACTGGTGATTTCAAGAGAAATCATCACGTCTTTGAAGTAGTTTGTGACCACCCCCTAGCAGTCCGATAGCCAAATAAGGGAGCTATCTGCTAAATGGCTCCCTCATTCGGTATCCTTAAATATGACAAATCTACATAAGGGTACCAATTAAGGCAGTTATCTGTTAAACAGATGAAATGTCAAAATTAAGAAAAGCAATTTTTCATTTGATCTTTCAGCTGTTTAGTAGATAGCTGCTAATTTGTTATCCTTATGTGGGATGGATTGCCATATTTAAAGATACCAAATTAGGGAGTTATTTACTAAACCCATACACATTCTCATTTAAACATTTAATCACAGACATGTAAATACTAATATAATACATACATGTATATTATACATGCATATGCATAATACCTTCAGATATCCTGTAAACTAAGTAAAACCTAAGTAAAAACACGCTGACACAGACACACACACTGGTCCATACACACATACACTGAGATATATTGACTAGAGTTGA